TAAGTTCTTATATAAGTTCTTCTTTATAATAAAAAAATTCTAGTTTATACTTACTTATACTCGCGTTAATTTTAAGTTAATTTAAACGATTAACTCCCCTATTAAGTTTAATTAAAACTTACTATTTATAGCCTAATAAGCTATTATTTTTAGTATATCCCTTACACTTATTATTCGTTATAAAGGCGCTATTATTTACTAGAATTCTAGCTATTAAGTAATAGTCGCGAATTTTTATTATAATTAAGCTAGTATTACTTAAGCTCTTAATTAACTTATTAATAATTAGTATATTAATTATAAAGAACGTACCGCGTAAATAGCTTATCTTAAAAGGGTAATTAAATCTATTAGCTTATTCTCTATTAGCTATAATTAGCGTTTTATTTACGCTTTTAATATTACTTTATTAGGGTTTTCTTTTATTCTTTTTAACCTTATTACTTACTATTAGCTTCTTAAATAATCCCTTAATAATTCTAATAAGCTTATTTTAATTAAAAATCTTTCTTTTATTAATATTAGTTATTAGTTTTATTATACTATTAATTACTTTTATCTTTTATTTAATTACGCCTTTACCTTTTATAACTTAATAGTTAATTACCTTTACTTCTCGCTTAAATATACTTTTACCTTTTATAATTAAGTAATTAATTACGCTTATTTTAAAGCTATAATATCTCTTAGAGGGGAAAGAGTTTAATATTAATTAAAACTAGTATTCTAATAATTCTTAATTAATAAATAAAAGTAAGAATAAGTATAAGAGAAAGGCCTTTAATTATTCTTAAAATACCTTTAATTAAGCTTTATCTTATAGCTTTTTCTCTTATAAAACTAGCTCTTATACTTATAATATATTATTCTATTAGGGTTTTTTATTACGCGTTAATAATATTAATATTAATAGTTTTACTTTTATTAATATTACTTTAAGCCTTTAATTTAATTCTAGTTTACGCGCCTCTTATTAAAGGTTTACTTATCTATTAAGTGTATTAATTCTATTAACCTATTTAATTTAAGCTCTTTCTTATTCGCTTAATTAAAGGCTAAAAACTCTAATAACTCTCTCTTAGTACTACTTCTTCTTACTTTAATAAAGGTCTCTATTACTTTTTACTAGTAGTTTATTTTATCTTATATCTTAACTAATAAGAATTATTTCCCTTTATTATTATTAGTTTTTAATAATTTAAACTTCGCTTTATATAAACGTTTTATATTTAAGCTAGCTATATATTAGCTCTTTTAATTACGTTAATTACCCGTTAAATAAGGTGTTTTTTTTTATATATATTCTTTAATTATAATATTTATAATTAATTAGTTTAAAAAAATTTACTAGCCCCTTATAGTCTCTTTACTTATATAATTTAAGGCTCTTAAATTATAGTATTATTTTTATTACCTTTATTTTAACTTATTATAAGCTCTTATTACTCTTTTTTTTTTTTTTATATAGATACTATTATAATTATAATAGTTTAAGCGTAACGTAAAGGCAGTATAAGGCTATTATTCTGCCTTATATTTCTCTATTAGTTTTTAAAACGCTTTAATATTACTATCTTCTATACGTTTTCTAGTAGCTTTTAAATTAATTATATATAACTTACTTATTTTACGTAGGCTTTTTATTTCTTACCTCTCTTTAATACGTTCTTTATTATAAGAATTTCCTTTACCTTAAATTCTTTTATTAATTAATCGCTTATCTTATTATTTATTTACGTTAACTTAAAGCCTAATTTAAAGTTTTATAGCTCTTAAAATAAGAGTAAGTTATAAGCTATACGTTCTAGGAGATTAACGTGAAATACTAGGTAAATACTACCTAAGACGTTTAGCCTTACTATAAGTAGCGTTAATACGTTTATAACCTTATATTTCGCTATAACTTAATCTAGCTTTTTACTTAATTAATTTATTCTAATATTTTATAGGTTTAGCTAGGTATTATCTCTAATCTTAGACTTCTTTACTAGGCGCTATTATTTGCTTGTCGAGTTCTAGGCACATTACTAGGCGAACGCGATTATAATACTACTATCTCCCGTACGTTTTCTAATAGCTCCTAGGTTAGCTACATATAACCTACCTATTTTACGTAGGCTTTCCGTTTCTTACCTCTCCTTAATACGTTCTTTATTACGAGAATTTTCTTTACCTTAAATTCTTTTACTAGCTAACCGCTTACCTTATTATTTATTTACGTTAACTTAAAGCTTAATTTAAAGTCTTATAACTCCTAAAATAAAAGCAGGTTATAAGCTATACGCTTTAGAAGATTAACGTGAAATACTAGGTAAATATTACTTAAAACGTTTAGCCTTATTATAAGTAACGTTAACACGCTTATAACCTTATATTTTACTATAACTTAATTTAGCTTTTTACTTAATTAATTTATTTTAATATTTTATAGATTTAATTAAGTATTATCTTTAATCTTAAACTTCTTTATTAAGCGCTATTATTTACTTTTCTCTTATAAAACTAGCTTTTATACCTATAATACACTATTTTATTAAAGTTTCTTATTACGCGCTAATAGTATTAATATTAATAGTTTTACCTTTATTAATATTACTTTAAACTTTTAGTTTAGTTTTAATTTACGCGCTTTTTATTAAAGATTTACTTATCTATTAAGTATATTAATTCTATTAATTTATTTAATTTAAGCTCTTTCTTATTCGCTTAATTTAAGACTAAGAATATTAATAGCTCTCTCTTAATACTACTTCTTTTTACTTTAATAGGGGTTTTTATTACTCTTTATTAGCGGTTTATTTTATCTATATCTTAGCTAATAAGAATTATTTCCTCTTTATTACTATTAGTTTATAGTAATTTAAATATTACCTTATATAAACGTCTTATATTTAAGCTAGCCGCGTATTAGCTCTTTTAATTATATTAGCTATTTATTAAATAAGGTGTTTTTAATTTTCTTCTTTTTTTTTTATTTTCTTTAATTATAATATTTATAATTAATTAATCTAAAAAAATAAAGCTATAATATCTCTTTAAGGGGAAAGGGTTTAATACTAATTAAAACTAATATTTTAATAACTTTTTATTAATAAATAAAAGTAAAAATAAGCGTAAAAGAAAGGCTCTTAATTATTTTTAAAATACCTTTAATTAAGCTTTATCTTATAGCTTTTTCTCTTATAAAACTAGCTCTTATACTTATAATATATTATTCTATTAGGGTTTTTTATTACGCGTTAATAATATTAATATTAATAGTTTTACTTTTATTAATATTACTTTAAGCCTTTAATTTAATTCTAGTTTACGCGCCTCTTATTAAAGGTTTACTTATCTATTAAGTGTATTAATTCTATTAACCTATTTAATTTAAGCTCTTTCTTATTCGCTTAATTAAAGGCTAAAAACTCTAATAACTCTCTCTTAGTACTACTTCTTCTTACTTTAATAAAGGTCTCTATTACTTTTTACTAGTAGTTTATTTTATCTTATATCTTAACTAATAAGAATTATTTCCCTTTATTATTATTAGTTTTTAATAATTTAAACTTCGCTTTATATAAACGTTTTATATTTAAGCTAGCTATATATTAGCTCTTTTAATTACGTTAATTACCCGTTAAATAAGGTGTTTTTTTTTATATATATTCTTTAATTATAATATTTATAATTAATTAGTTTAAAAAAATTTACTAGCCCCTTATAGTCTCTTTACTTATATAATTTAAGGCTCTTAAATTATAGTATTATTTTTATTACCTTTATTTTAACTTATTATAAGCTCTTATTACTCTTTTTTTTTTTTTTATATAGATACTATTATAATTATAATAGTTTAAGCGTAACGTAAAGGCAGTATAAGGCTATTATTCTGCCTTATATTTCTCTATTAGTTTTTAAAACGCTTTAATATTACTATCTTCTATACGTTTTCTAGTAGCTTTTAAATTAATTATATATAACTTACTTATTTTACGTAGGCTTTTTATTTCTTACCTCTCTTTAATACGTTCTTTATTATAAGAATTTCCTTTACCTTAAATTCTTTTATTAATTAATCGCTTATCTTATTATTTATTTACGTTAACTTAAAGCCTAATTTAAAGTTTTATAGCTCTTAAAATAAGAGTAAGTTATAAGCTATACGTTCTAGGAGATTAACGTGAAATACTAGGTAAATACTACCTAAGACGTTTAGCCTTACTATAAGTAGCGTTAATACGTTTATAACCTTATATTTCGCTATAACTTAATCTAGCTTTTTACTTAA